AGCCACAGAACTACTTGTGGCTTTTTCTGTTTATGCAGCGCCCAGCGGAAACTCACTCTTAAAGCCAGGCTGGCTACACAATCTATAGATACCCCCAGACACACCCACCAGGCACACACATAAACACACACACCTGTGAAATACACTCATGCAAAAACACTGGACAGCCATATTCATGCCAAAAGCCATGTGACATGAGCTCACACCCACCCACAGAGATGAGCCCTGCTACACACCCACACCACATCTTTGCACAGCCATAGGTGTGTATTCCAGCACCCTGCTTGCTACTACAGGGTGAGACCTAATGTGCACTCTCCCCTCTCCACAGCCATGGGCAGCAGGAAGGTGCCTTTCTCCTTCCCCACAGCCCGCTTGGTCTTCTTCATCCTCATCGCCTCCACCATCTTCCACTTCCAGCAGCGCCCAGGGAGGGCCCACCCTACTCCTGTGCAGGAGCTGACATCCAACACAGAATGGTTGAGATTAGGAGATGTTGGCAGAGGTAGGTCAGTTATGAGTGTCTGTCAGAATACCATGGCAGGACTGTGCAGGTGCTGGGTCCTCTGAGCCTTGTCTAGTTAGATTCTGACCCCTCCTCCAGGCCACCCTCCTGGCCTGCATCCCAGGAACACTGGGGGGGGGGAGAAAGGGGGATCCTGACTCAGCTCAGTCCGGCAGCTCAGCCACACCAATTTCCTGCTAAGCCAGGTACACCCTGGGCGGGTTTTCTGGCCACAGACAAAGGAAAAAAAAAAAAAAGCTCTACAAGGTTCTCAGGCCCAGAATGAAGAGCTGCCCAGGAAGGAGAGTGGAACAGCTCTTAGAACAGAAGCCCCTTGTTATCCACTCCTGGATTCCTGTCCCCAAACAGGTGAGGGACAGAGTGTGTGTGTGTGTGTGTGTGTGTGTGCATGTACAATGGGGGATGTGGATGGGGGTGAGGTGTCTCTCCCTGCACTCTGCAGCACGTGTGCAGGAGGTGAGCCCTACCAGATGGGAGGTCAGGGATTAAGGAGACATTCCCAGTGTTGGTGGAGAGGGGGAGGGGTGTGGTGGGGGGACTTTCAGGAGAATACAGCTCATCCTCAGCTGGCTGCTAGAGGGGGGGTTGTCTCCTGCATCCCAAGCTCAACCCCCAGCTCCTCATCCTCCAGTACCTGGCCACCCTGCCCAGCCCGCTGCCCTGAGAGGCTCCCTCCACCCCACCTGTCCACCCAGCCATGGGCTCTCTCCCTTCCTTCTCTTCCTCCGTCTTTCCTGTCACCAGGAACCACTGAGGAATAGATGTGCAGCAAAGGCTTGGGCTGGACTGGGAATAACTAGGTTTCCACCTGGCAGGCATGGCAGACCCCCAACCCCAGAGGTCACCCCAGCTCCACCACCTGCCAGGCACCTGGGAGGAAGGCCTGTGCCCTCAGTGGCTCCTTAATCCACCTCCCTACTCAGCCTTTTTTTTGCCAGTCCTGGAGCTTGAACTCAGGGCCTGGGCACTGTCCCTGAGCTTCTTTTGCTCAAGGCTAGCACTCTACCACTTGAGCCACAGCACCACTTCTGGCTTTTTCTGTGTATGCGGTACAGAGGAATCGAACCCAGGGCTGCATGCATGCTAGGCAAGCACTCCACCACTGAGCCACCTTCCCAACCTATAATCTTTTTATAAATTTATTACTTTATTGTTACTATAGAAGTGATATACAGAGGGATTACAAGTACATGAGTCAGGTAATGAGGAGTACATTTCCTTTTGTATAGTAATGTATGCTTCCTCATTCCTAGTTTCTCCCTCCCAGCTCCACCCACCAGTTGTATAGTGCACTTCTATCAGTGTCCAGTGACTTCCATTGCTGTACTTTCCCCCTCGAATGCTGTGCCTTTACCCTGTCACTCATAGGGCTTGAACTCAGGGCCTGGGTGCTGTCTCTAAGTTCTTCTGTTCAAGGCTACCACTCTGTCACTTTGAGTTACAGCCCAATTTCTGTTTTTCTGGTGGTTCATTGGAGATAGGAGTCTCATGGATTTTCCTGCCCAGGCTGGCTTTGACCCTTGATCCTTAGATCTCAGCCTGAGCTGCTAGGATTACAAGCTTAAGCCACCAGTGCCCGGCTAGGGGTTTCTTTTTTGAGACAGGTCTCCCTTTACAGTTGCCTCCTTTTTCCAGGCATGGATGGAACTCTATCTTGAGGTCCATAAGATGGCTCCAGCTGGGGCAGACAGGCAAACTGTAGACATAGGGGACAGTTGGAGGCCTAGAGGATGCAAGAAAGCCAAAGGGGTAAAGAAGAGGCTGTGGCTGAGATGCAAAGACAGGGAGAAAACAGACCCCACTTCCCTGAGAGAGCTGGAGGTTCGATTGCCCCTCTGAATTTGAAGTACTTTCCAGCATGGAAGAACCTCCCTCCAAGGAACAGGCTTGACCTCCCGTCTCTCCTCTACCCCATGGCAGGGCCTGATGTGCTGGTTGTGGCAGTGGGAACTGAGGGTGGAGAGCTGGTGAACTGATCACAGAGTGGATGAGAAGCCAGGCTCCTTGTCCATTGTTGCCAGCAGCAGCTCAGGCCTGGTTGTGAATTTGGGGGTGGGGGTCCTCAAAATGTCCCAGGTGCTACTATTCTATCTCCACTCACCCCTGTACCTTCCCAGCTCCTCCTACAGTCTTAGGGAAATTCTCAGGTACCAGTAGAACTTTCCATTTAGGGAAGTAGGGAACTAGCTCAGGGGTCAGCCTAAACTTTCCATAATGGGGGGCAGGGGATACTCCTCAAACTTTCCATATGGGGAGATACTCAGAGGCAAGTAAATCAAATCATTTAGGGAGATAATCAAGGAAGACTATTTGCTGCAGCAAAAGGTTTCCTAAGGCTAAAGAGCATGACATCTGCAGTTCAGTAAATGGCCTCTCACTGAAAAGAAAGTGAAAAGCTCCCTCCACCCAGCAAGGCATCAAATGGCTAAGAGGACAAGGTGATGTACTTAGACCCAGAGTCCTTACTTTAACCCCCTCTGGTTTTAGGCACATGAAATCAAACTATTGATTTCCCAATGAGAGAGCTGCACTGGGCCCTTAAAACCAACAGCCTAACCTAGTTACTTGAAACAAAGATTACAAAGGAAGCTCTTCTGGCCTAGAGCTGCTCCATTATCATTAAAATAACATTTTTTCCTAAGGCTGCCCACAGTTACCCCTTTAGTTTTCTCCTGGGCTGTTCCCACCTGTAACTCAAGGCATCTCCAGCACTCAAAGTTGGCTCCCTATGACTGATAACCCAGCATCCTTTGGACTTGAGCATAACCATCGATCCTTTCCCAGGTCAGGCTGGGTAAGGCTTACACATCAACATACCACAAAATGTGTCACACAAAGAAGGCTCTGGGAAGGAGTTGGGAGAAGACTTGACACAAATATCTTAGTTCTATCAGATCCGAAGTGACCTTCCACCAGGAATCAGCCCTTTGTGACAGAGCCAGACAGGGGGTGCATCTAATTTTCCCACAGTGGGGGTGTCCAGGATGACAATGTAGAGTCCTTCCAGCTACCTGCAAGGCAGTCCTTGGTGAACTTTTTTTTTTTTTTTGGTCAGTCGTGGGGCTTGAACTCTGGGCCTGGGCGCTATCTCTTAGCTCTTCAGCTCAAGACGAGCACTCTACCCCTTGAGCCACAGCACCACTTCAGTTTTTTTTTTCTGGTGGTTTATTGGAGATAAGAGTCTCATAGACTTTCCTGCCCAGGCTGGCTTTGAACCGTGATCCTCAGATCTCAGCCTCCTGAGTAGCTAGGATTTCAAGCATGAGCCACCAGCACCCAGCTCTTGATGAACTTCTTAATCCAAATGGAATCTCCAGGTTGGAGGAGATGGGCTAGATCCAAGCTGGGTAAACCATTTACACATCCCCTGCTAGTTGCCTGCATGTTCTGCAGAAACTTGAATTAAAGAAGCATTATTAATTTAACCTAAGCCAGGGGCCTTAATTTAGTGGAATCTATCAATATTTCTCTGGTTGTTTCCTCTGAGTACATTGACACTGGATGGAAGGCTGGGGCCAGGGACAGTCATTTAGGGGCCTCACTGGATTTTTTAGGGCAGTTTGGCTCAGGGCCATGTACCAGCTCTTGTTAACCAGATGGCCTCCAATAAGGCTAGGATTTCCTGGGCAGACATAGAAGGCTTGGGCCTGTAATACCACCTCTCACATCATGGTCTCCACACTCAAGGGTGTCAGTACTAGTTACCACTGTTTTCCCATGTCTATTCCTTTCATCTATTCTGTCCCATTTTTCCAAAAATGACTAGTCCCTTGACCTTAAGGAGAGTTGATAGGCAGAGATCCATCTTCTTTAACTTCTTCAAGTTGAGTTTGGGGTATTGACCCTACCTTACCAGAGACCTAAAGCCTTAGCTTATTTTACCAAGGGATTGCCAAGATCAGATGTCATTAGGAGCAATTTTTACTCCAAACTGGAAAGAACATACAACACTTAACTTTTACTAACAACTACACAGACTTTTCCTAGGGCTACCATTGTACAACCTGTTTAGCCCTCTGGTTTGGAAAAGGATTTTTCTGTCTCTCTGGGGTACCTGACCTTTGGAGATGCTTACAATGCATAACAGCTACCTGTGAAAGTTCCCAGACAGCCCAATAGGGACAGGATCTCAGGTCCATGCCCTTTTGGGTACAAGCCTCTTTTCCTGAACAGATGAATTTATGTGGCAGGTGCCAGATAAAAATCACTGCCAATTAGAGCAGACACTGGGGGCTGGGGTTTTGTTAACTTAAAACTATCCCTCCCCACTTTGAAACCCCACTTTGAAAACCCTAGCTTTTTTTTTTTTGAGTCCTAGGGTTTGAACTTAGGGCTTGAGAAGATTCTTTTGCTCAATGCTAGCACTCTACCACTTGAGCCACAGAACTACTTGTGGCTTTTTCTGTTTATGTGGTGATGAGGAATGGAACCCAGGGCTTCAGGCATGCTATGCAAGCAGTCTACCACTGAGCCACAGACCCAGCTCAGCCCTAGCTTTTTATTAGCCACTATAACTGATGACTGACAGACAAGGGCATAAGTTCCTGCTCATTTACAAAGTAGACAGACATGGGTATTAGACATACATGCTTATAAATTATTTACTTTTGACCTCCTGGCTTTGATTTCTTTTGAAGGGCCAAGCACAAGTGACACCATCCCTCTTAACTGAACAGTTTCTTCCAACTGACTCTGGATGCTCCATCTGTAGAACACATGGGCAGCAAAGATGGCGCTGAGAGGGAGTTGAGTGGGCAGAGCCCGATTTGCTTTAGGTTCAGTGCCTAACCAGCCCATGGAAGCTTAGGTGCATGATAGGGTGTGATCTTGACAGTGATTGGTTCCTCTTCCTCCCCTGCCATGCCACCCGCTCTTTTTTGCTTTAAAAAGGGCTGCTCTGTGTTAAACGAGTTTTCCTGCTTGAGTTGACTCTCCACTGCATCTGATTGTCTCCCGGGCTGAGGAAGGCTGGGGAACGGGCCGAGCGGCCACTCTTACCTTTCCTTGGACCTCGTCCGTCTTTCCTGGGACAGACAAAGACCCCACATTCCATCACTGATTGGCAGGACACGCTTTGTTCCAGGAGTGTCTTCTCCATACTGGGATAATGCCCCATTGGCATTTCCCCTGAACTCAGGGCCTCGGTGCTATCCCTGATCTCTCCAACTCAAGGCTAAAGCTCTACCATGTTGAGCCACAGCACCACCTCCAGCACTCTGCTGGATAATTAGAGACAAAAGTCTCAGAAGGACCTCTCTGCCTGGGCTGACTTTGATCCACAGTCCCCAGATCAAATGAGTCTTTGCCTACAGGTCCTTACTCCAATTGAAGCAACAAGAAGATCAATAGACGTAGATTTTAAGCAAGGCTTACCTGGAACTTATTAAGAATCAAAGTTAACACACTGGCTACAGCAGACGTTGATGAAAGTGAACTACGCAACTTGTGGGTGGAGATGGGAGAGAGGGAGTGGGAGAGAATGAGGGAACACATGACACCCTGTGAAAGGAAATGTACTTATTTCCTGATGTATATAAAGGTAACCAGGTAGCACCTGTAAAGCAACAAGTAAATTGGAAATAAAAAAAGAAGAAGAAGAAGAAAGAAAATTAAATGTGACAAACTTACAAGAGTTACCTGTCCTCTATGGGTCTGCCTATAATTGCTACCAAAGATCTGTAAAGGCTAAACTGAAACAACACTTAAACAATCATAATCTCTTATAGCACTTGTGGAACCTTGTTAGGAAAATGCAGAAGAAAGGAAAAGGAAACAGCTGGACCCAAGTTCTCAACAGCCTAGGATTGTTTATTGAGGCACTGCAGGGGGCAGAGCCTTCCTGTGGGCTACGAGGTTGTGTAAGGAGGTGGGGTTGGAGTTAGGCTTTTGTGGGGTCTGAGCAAGGAGACAGAGGTTACTTGAGTTGGATACAGGGGCGGTGACTGCAGGTGTGGGCAGAAAATAGAGTAAGTGGAGTAAGAACTGTCTCCCTTATCCAAGGTCTCGGGCTTTTTAATGTTCAAACAGCTCTGCATCTGTCTTGCTTGATGCTTTGATGTACTCAGGGTCCAGTGCTCAACCTTCAGTCCAGAATTAACCCTGTCCGGGTCTGGGTGCTGTCCCTGAGCTGTTCAGCTCAAGGCAAGTGCTCTACCACCTGAGCACAGCACCACCAAGCAATGTTTACAGCCAGGCTCAGGTCAGATGGCCCTGCCTGTAGTCAAGCATATGTGTGCATACCTTGGGTTTTGCCTGATATTCATATGCACCTGGGGTCATAGGATGGAGTTCAGTCCTTCAGGTAGGATTACAGGCCTGAGCCAGCAGCACCTGGCCCCTTGTCTTGGTCTCTATTTTCATCACCACGATCTCTGCACAGGCATTCATGCATTCCACATGGCTGACCGCTGCTCACGACCTAATGTGTGCTCTTCCCTCCCCCACAGCCATGGGCAGCACCACACAGGGGACTTTCTCCTACCCCCTGGCACACGCCATCCTCTTCATCTTCATCGCCTCCACCCTCTTCCACATCCAGCGGCGCCTAGTGAGGCTCCAAACCAGTAGTGGGCAGGATGAGCAGATATGGGTGTCTCATCCAGGCATGGAGACCCTGGCAGGAAGGAAGAAGCCCATGAGCCATGCCCAGCTAGACATGTGGACCATTAACTCCCTCGGCCGCCTGGGGAACCAAATGGGTGAGTACGCCACGCTCTACGCCCTGGCCAAGATGAACGGACACCCAGCCTTCATCCCTGCTCCAATGCACAGCATGCTGGCCCCCATCTTCAAGATCAGCCTCCCAGTGCTGCCCAGCGTCATGGAGCGCAGAGCCCCCTGGCACAACTACCACCTCAATGACTGGATGGAGGAGCGTCACCGGAACATCACCGGCCTCTATGTGCGCTTCACAGGTACACCCTGCTCCTGGACTTTCTACCACCACCTGCGCCCCGAGATCCTGCAAGAGTTCAGCTTGCATGAGCACGTGCGTGAGGAGGCCCAGGCTTTCCTGCGGGGTCTGAGCGTGAATGGGAGTCAGCCCCGCACCTTTGTAGGGGTGCATGTGCGCCGGGGAGACTATGTCCATGTCATGCCAAATATGTGGAAGGGGGTGGTGGCCCATCGGGGCTACCTGCAGCAGGCCATGGATCGGTTTCGAGCCCGGTTCGAATCTCCAGTGTTTGTGGTCACCAGCAACGGCATGGCCTGGTGCAAG